TGAGGCCCTGGGTTCGATTCCTCAGCACCACATAAGCAAAAAGAAAAAAGCTGGAAGTGGCGCTGTGGCTCAAGTGGTAGAGCTGAAGAGCTGAGGTACAGCACCCAGGCCCAGAGTTCAGGCCCCATGACCGGACCCCCCCCCCAAAAAAAAGAACAGCATCCAGTGCATATCAAATGTAGGACTAACTAACTGTACCAAGTCATGGGCAAGAACTGCAATATGCAGAATAATAAGGCCAGTCCCTTCCTGTGCCACCACACAGGGTAAAGATGAGGCACAGAAGCATAACTGTTGCAAGCAACCTTGTGGTTTCAAACATTTTCTTCAGCAAAAAGCTTTATATTGGGAAGCCACAGCAATCCAGTTCCAAGGATAGAAAAGAAAATGCCAGCCACGAAGCATATCACAAAACACTTCAATCTGGTGCTTGAAACTCAGGGATGTGGAGTCCAGGAACTTCGCGCAGTCAGGCCCCGCTCCTCGTCATCCTGCCTGCTCAGGAGCCACCAAAGCTTCTCCATGGCCCCATCGGCAGGCTGCCACGCAGGGAACTCACTCGCCGACCGCTCACGCCCACCCAGGAGCCTGGAGCTCGAACCTTCATGCACAGACCAGAAGTCCGGGTCGCCACTTCATGCGCGACACCTTCTACCCCTATACTCAACATTTCTATCTATACTCAGCTACTGTATCTTCACATGTTCAGGAAAGGGATAAGAAATGCATTATACTCTCTACAGACCACTGTGGAAGGTCTTGACCTGCTAAGGCTATGGAACTATCTGACCCAGACTCATATAGTACATTCCATGTGCTTAAGCCCTCTTTCCATATTTCATCTTTTCCTGTCTCCTCCAAAGCTCATGCCCATATGACAACTAGCATGTGAGATTAAGAGTCAGACTTCCTTGTCTCAACAGACCAAAAGCAGATCATGAACCCTAATATTTCTTGGGTAAAAAAGTGTGGCTCACCCTAATTTTGTGTAGTCTTATTAGGAGAGAGAGAACTGGGAAATTGGCTCAGTAGTAGAGTGCTTGTCTCGCATGCATGAGGCCCTGGGTTCAATTCCTCAATACCACATAAGCAGAAAAAAGCCAGAAGTGGCACTGTGGCTCAAGTGGTAGGGCACTAGCCTTGAGCTGAAGAGCTGAGGGACAGTGCCCAGGCCCAGAGTTCAGGCCCCAGGACCGACAAAAAAAAAAAAAAAAGGAGAAAGAGAAACCAGGTGTTGATGGCTCGTGCCAGCAAACCTAGCTATTCAAGGAGCTGAAATCTCCAGGGTATTGTGGTTCAAACCCAGCTGGGACAGAAAAGCCCATGAGACTCCTATCTCTAATTTACCAGCAAAAAGCCAGAAGTGAAAGTATGGTTCAGGAAGTTAGAGGTCAGGTGGTAGAGTGCTAACCTTGAGCAAAGACATCAAACAAGAGCAAAAGGCCCCAAGTGACAAAACTAAAAAAGGAGACTAGGATTCTGACTCTCTTTTCGCCAAAGAATGACTCTGGACAAGGCACTTCACCTCAGATTCTCAAGATGGCTAGAAAACAAATATGAAAGGCAAAGTGGAGGGGAAGGTATACAAGTCTTGACAGAGTATATAATTTGTCACAGTTAAGAGAATCTATAGTATAGTAGCTTACCAACATAGTGCTCCACATCCCTCACAGTGAATGATGGTGAGGGCAGTGTCATCCCCAACCCATCCTTCTTCAAGACCAAGATGGGTACACTGAAGCTATTCTCTTCTAGGAATTCCACAGTCAGCTGGCTTCCAGTGGGCTTCAGAATCACTTCATCTGAACTGTATGGGCCACAGAAGAAAAATCATGAGCTCAAGGTTCTGCTCACTAAAGGCATTACTAATGTTTCTTTTCACTTATGGGGTAGTACTACTTCCTGAGGAAGTCTTATATGGGCTGACAAACTAATGGCATAAACCTCACTCAAGTGCCAGGAAAGAAATTACCCATCTAAGACAAGAGGCAAATTCACTGGCAGAGGTGATGAAGAGCCAGTAAATAGGGTGATGGTCTCTGGATGACCAAAAAACTGGTTAGAGAGAAGAAGCATATCTGACAAGTTTGGCTAATCTGTTCTAACCAAGAGCAACACTTCTGAATTAAAATATTAGCAAAGGAAAGAGAAAAGACATTTAAAAGATGATAATATTTATAAATACTTTTTCAACACATATGCTTAGTTAACTACAAAAAAAGGGAATTTTTAAATAAATCATGCTGGAGAATAGACCGACTAAAATGTAGACCAACTAAAATGTAGCTCACTGGCAGAGCATTTGTTTGGCATGCAGAAGGACCTAACTTAACACACAGACTATTTGTTGGGACAAATATATTAAGCTCAATGTCTACCTTGCTCTTTATATAATTATAGATGATCTAAAAATTAAATTGTTAAAAATAGCTGTGTGCCAGTGGCTCAAGTCTGTTAATCCTAGCTACTCAGAAGGCTGACATGTGAGGATCAGAGTTCAAAGCCAGCTTGGGCAGGAAAATCTGTGAAACTCTTATTTCCAATTAAACACCAAAAAGCCAGAAGAAGAGCTGTGGCTCAAATGCTAACCTTGAGAGAGGAAAAAAAAAACTCAGGCACAGGACCCAGGTGCTGAGTTCAAGACCCAGGACCAGCACCAAAACAATTATAAAACATAAAAGCAAGGGAGGGGCTAACAATGTTTGATAAGAAATGTACTCATTACCTTACTTATGTAACTGTAACCCCTCTGATTTCACCCTAACAATAAATTTTTTTATTGTCAAGGTGATGTACAGAGGTACATTTCTTGCCAAACTTGTTACCCCTTCCCTCATTTTTCTCCCACTTTCCTTCCCCCTAACCCCCACTAAAAATATATATTTTTTAATCCTAAAGAGAAAAAAAAATAAAAGTACTAACTGGGAGAGTGAGGGAAGGGTTGACGCTGTCCAAAAAGAAATGTACTCTTTACCTGACTTATGTAACTGTAACCCCTCTGTACATCACCTTTATAAAAACAATAAAAAATTTAAAAATAAAGCATTTAAGAATAGAGACAAATACAGGAGATAAGTCTCAATTACCACTACACTAATAACTAAATTCAACTACATAAAATTAAACTTTTCTGGAAGAAAAGCTACAAGCAACAGTAACAAAATTAACAAAGAAAAAGATGATTACAAATATATAAAAATTTTCAGGCCGGGAGGTTGGCTCAGTGATAGAGTGCTTGCCTTTAATGCATGAGGCCCTGGGTTCGATTCCTTGACACCACATAAGCAGAAAAAAGCCAGAAGTGGCGCGATGGCTCAAGTGGCAGGGCACTAGCCTTGAGATGAAGAGCTGAGGGACAGCGCCCAGGCACAGAGTACAGCCCCCACAACCAACAAAAAGAAAAAATTTTTCTTCATAATTATAGTACTGAAACTAGAAACAGTACGATTTTAATTTCATCTCACTGAAGAAACATAAAAGCTTCATACTAAATAATGTTGTGTTGGCCAGCATATAGAAAAATTATCTGTGGGAGTATGAAATGATATAACCACTATGGAAATAATTGGCAATGTTTAAAAATTATTTTAAAAGCACAGCCTCTTTGACCTAACTTGCAAAAAGTAAACATATATATAGATACAGATAGATAGATAGATAGATAGATAGATAGATAGATAGATAGATAGATAGATAGATCCATCTGTCACATATGTAAAAATATAAGTACAAAGATACTTCTGTGCTTTTCCTAATGGCAAAATATTGGAATAAAATTAAATATTCAAAAATAGAGGATTACTTAATTATTCATACAATGAAATACTGAATAGCCATGAGAAAGAATGGAAAACACATATATGTATACATAATTTAGGTTGAAAAACTAAAGATGGTGCTGGTGGGTGGTTCATCCCTATAATCTGAGCGACCCAAGAAAGGATGAGATCTGAGGATTGAGGTTCGAAACCAGCACAGGCAAAATGTCTGAGAAAGTGTCACCAATTAACCAGCAAAAACAGGTGAACTAGAGGTACATCTCAAGTGGAAAAGCTCCAGCCATAAGCAAGAAGACTGAGCAATGATGTGAGACCTTCAGTTCAAGCCCCAGTACAAGCACAAAAAGAAAAAATAAGATGCAGAATAAAGTGTCTGTTTTTGTGTCAGAAAATGAAAAAGATCCAGGCACAATAGCTCACATCTGTATCTACCTACAAGGAGGTAGCAATTGGGAAGAATGTGGTTCCAAGCCAGCCTAAGGAAAAAAAAATCCACACACAAAAAAAATCTCTTCTTAAAAACAAATCATTTGGGGCTGGGAAGGTGGCTCAGTGGTAGAGCGCTTGCCTTGCATGCCTGAGGCCCTGGGTTCGATTCCTCAGCACCACATAAGCAAAAAGAAAAAAGCCAGAAGTGGCGCTGTGGCTCAAGTGGTAGAGCACTAGCCTTGAGCTGAAGAGCTGAGGGACAGTGCCCAGGCCCAGAGTTCAGGCCCCACAACCGGACCCAAAAAAAAAAAAAAAACAAATCATTTAACCAGCACGACTATGTTTTTTGCAGCCTTATTTACAATAGCTAAGATATGGAACCAACCCAGATGCCCCTCAGTAGATGAATTGATCAAGAAAATGTGATATATATATATATATATATATGTACACATACACACAATGGAATTCTATGCCTCCATCAGAAAGAATGGCATTGCCCCATTTGTTAGGAAATGGAAAGACTTAGAACAAATTATATTAAGTGAAGTAAGCCAGGCCCAAAGAAACATAGGTCTCATGGTTTCCCTTATTAGCAATAACTAGTATATGTCTGAGTCAAGCAGAAAAGGTCAGATAAGTTGATGTTAGGGAAATGAACCCTAAGATATGTATTCAAATGTTTTTTTCTTTCAGGTGATTGTTTCTAACACATTTATAAGATTATTTCTTTGTTGCTTTGTATGTCCCTCCCCCACAATATAACCCCTGCTTTCACTGTATTTGATGTTGGTATAATTTGTGGAGGGGAAGGGAAAAAACAAATTGTTTAAATAGGGATACAGGTGGACCCATTGCAACAATGAGATGTACAAGTCATTATGTCGAAAACAAACTTTACAACTTTGGTGGGGGGGGGAGAGAAGGTTTGGGTGGGGGGGCCAGGGGAGGATGGGAAGGGATGGGAAGGGTAAACAAAGGAGGAGGCTACAATGCCTGATAAGAAATGTACTCATTATCCTGCCCATGTAGTTGTAACCCCTCTGTACAGTATCTTCTCAATTTAAAAAAAAAAGAAGATTAAAAAAAAAAAATCTCTTCTTGGTGGTGGTGGTGGTGGTGTTTGATTTTGCTTTGGAATTTTTTTTCTTTTTTGGGGGGGTAAATGTGGGAACAAAAATGGAGGGAGGAAAGGGGAACAAACACAATCATGCTCTTCAGTATACACTATGTAGAAAATGAACTATAAGGGCAGGGACAGGAGGGGGAAACTGGGGGAAAGTGAAGGAATGGGTAACATTGTCCAGAAAAAAAATGTACTCATTACCTGACTTAGGAAATGACAAGTCCTCTGTACAATACCTTAATGATAATAAAATTATATTTTATTTTTAAAAAGAAAATAAAAACGTGTCTTTATCAGCTGGACTTGATATTGTACACCTGATATCCCAGCTAAATGAGAAACATAAATAGGAGGACTGAGGTCCAAGCCTGCCTGATCACAAAATTGAGACTTTATTTGGAAAATAAAGCAAAAAGAACTGAGAATGTGATTGAAAGGGTATTCTTTTTGTGTGTATGTGTGCCAGTCCTGGAGCTCTACTACTTGAATCATAGCTCCATTTTTTGGCTTTTTGATGGTTACTTGGAGTTAAGAGTCTCACAGCCTTTTTCTGCTCAGAGTGGCTTCAAACAACAATCCTCAGATCTCAACCTACTGAGTCATTAGGATTACAGGTACCCAGCTGAAATGGTAGAATTCTTTCTTGGCAAGAACAAGGCTCTGCATTCAAACTCTAGTAGTGCTTTTAGAAAAAAGTCTACAATCCTTGTTACTTGAGAATCGGAGACCATTTGTGCAAAAAGACTTCATCTTGACCAAGGGCTAGTCACAGGAATACATATCTATCATTCCAGTTACAGAGGAAGCACAATAGCTGGGAGCAACAATTCATACCTGTTATCCCAGTGATTTGGAAAAGCACAATTAGAAGGATCACAATCCATGCTGGCCCAGGCATAAAAGGAAACCCTATCTCAAAAATAACCAGTGCAAAAGGGACTGTGGAGTAGCTCAAGTGGTAGAGAGCCTTCCTAGCAAGCAAGAGACCTTGTGTCCAAACATTAGGAATAGCAAAAAAAAATTAAATGAAAAAGATAAAGAAACACATGTTTGCATATACAAAAACTATTTTGAAAGAATGTATATTGTTGTTGACTTTGGAAAAAGGACCTGAGGAGCCTCAGGTAGAGAGGAGGCTCAAGTCTTTAAGCAAACAAAACAAATATGAAATTAAGGAAATATTTAATTCAAGTAAAATTTCAATCACAGGAAGCAAAAGAGGTCTTTATCCAGTAATTAGTGATTCATCATTTTTGTTCAATTCTTAAATTACTCGATTCCTTTTTAATAAGGCCAGTTTGATAGAAAAGAAATAACTCTTTGGTCTGAGTCTGTCACTCAAATTAGTATTTACCCAGCAAGCACAGGCTCTGATTTAAAAATCCCTTTTTAACTGAAAAAAATAATATATAACCATTCAATTTTTTAAGTTTCTCTTTTCTACAATAGAAGACTTAATTTTACCGATTTTTAAAGACTCCTTCCAGATTTTCAAGGATGTAGATGGTGAGAAGGCAAAGGTGGGAAGGTATAAGAATGAATAAGCAGTAAATATGATCAATGTACATTTTGTTTATGTATGGAAATATAATAAAAACCTATTATTTGTACTATTAACATATGCTAATAAAAAGGCAAAAAAATGGATCCTTTTCATTCTAGCATTCCTTAGATATATGCAGATATTAGTTCCTATTGAACATTTATTGAATATTGACTCCCAATATTTTTTTAATAAGTTGACCATATTATACTCGAAGTAAAATTCCAGTGACTGTGTCTCAGAAACTGACCCAAACAGAAGTTCCCCACCACAGAAAGAACTTACAGGGCCCATATGAGGCCCCCCAAATGGAGTCACTTCTAATGGTACAGATGGAGAGAAAACTAAGAAGAGTCTCAGCCCCTAAACTCCTGGTGTTTAACAGCTCTTTGGAACAGGGGTCCTTACCTCTCAAAAGTCCTACCCCGAAGCTCTCGAATGAACATAGGGCTCCCAGTCTTCACTGGCTTCCCCCTTTGGGCATCTTGCCCTTTTGAAGATCCACGGCGTTTTTTCACTAAGCCAGAAAGAGACATGAGGTCAAGAGTCAGAATGGTCATGAGCTGTGGTTCCAAGAATAAAAGACTTGGTAGATTTTTTTCTCTTCTAATCTAACAACCACTGCGGCATCTGGAGTCAATAAGGCTTTCACAAACTCAGCTAAGTTCCCAGTGTGCTAGGCAATCTCTAGGAAGTGAAGAAAGTTAAGCTATGCACTTTTGCCCTTCTGGCCTGTGAGGCCTGCCTAGACTTTTGCTATTTCCTAAAGAGGAATCTGAAACACTCTGGCAAAGGTAATCAAGTTTGTATTGTCTCTCCTCTAGGCCACCTTATGAAAAACCTAAGATATACTTACTAACAGATGGCCCATGTGAGACCTCACAATTGGGGCAGTGGTAGAGATCAATGTCAGCTGCCTTCTCTTCTTCCACACCAACACAACTGGAAAAGAAAAAAAAAAACAAACAAGGTTTATACAAGTTCATTTTTACTTTTTTGCAACATCCCAGGGCTTGAACTCAGAGTCTGGATGCTGTCCATGGACTTCTGTGCTCAAGGCTTACACTCTATGACTTGAATCACAGCTCCACTTATGGCTCTTTGGTAGTTATTAGACGTTAAGAGTCTCATGGACTTTCCTGCCTGGGCTGGATTCAAACCACAATCTGCAAATCTCAGAGTAGCTAAGATTACAGGTGTGAGCCGCAGGAACCTTGCTGTTTTATTTTTTACAAACTGTCCACTATAGTAACTATTAGCAAATGTGGCTATTTGCATTAATTAAAATTAAGCAAAATATGGGCTGGGAAGGTGGTTCAGTGGTAGAGCGCTTGCCTTGCATGCATGAGGCCCTGGGTTCAATTCCTCAGCACCACATAAACAGGGGAAAAAAAGCCGGAAGTGGAGCTATGGCTCAAGTGGTAGCACGCTAGCCTTGAGCTAAAGAGCTGAGGGACAGCGCCCAGGCCCAGAGTTCAGGCCCCATGACCAGACTCCTCCCCCCCAAAAAATTAAGTAAAATAAGGCTGGGTGCCATACTGGCTCACACCTGTAATCCTAGGTACTCAGGAGCTGAGATATAAGGATCATAGTTCAAAGCCAGGCAGCAAAGTCCATGAGACTATAATAAACCACTCAGAAAAAAAGCTGGAATTGGTACTGTGGCTCAGTGGCAGAGTGCCAGCCTTGAGAAAAATAATCTCAGGGACAGCAACCTGAGTTCAAGAGCCCCAGGACCAGCACAAAAAAAAAAGAAAAAAAAAGTTAAGAAACAGATGAAATTCATTTAAATATTTTTAAACTAACATATCCAAAATTCTATCCAAAATTTTAATCTTTGAGATAGTTTATCAAATGAAAATTGAAGTATTGTACATTTAAGAGTATTGATAAATGAAGTAATCATTTTCACTTACCTATATTTTTTAAATATCTATAATGAACATGTTACTTATTTCTTATTTTCAAAATTAAAAATATTTAATTTTGAAAACTTGAGTTCACATGCAAATGGCGTAGTAATCTCACAAAATTAAATAACCAGGGCTGGGAGGGTGGCTCAGTGGAAGTGCTTGCCTTGCATGCATGAGGCTCTGGGTTTGATTCACCACATAAGCAGAAAAAGCTGGAAGTGACACTGTGGCTCAAGCAGTAAAGCGCTAATCTTGAGCTGAAGAGTTGAGGGACAGCACCCAGGCCCCACGACCAACAAAATAAATAAATAAATAACCCCTTCCCTTAGAAAGGGGGCAGGAGACCTTCAAAAATTCTGGCTACGGTTGAACTCCTTTTATCTTTGATAAGCCACAAACAGTAAGGCACATAAAAATATGACAAAGCGGTTGGGAATGTGACTTAGTGGTAGAGTGCTTGCCTAGCATGCATGAAGCCTGGGGTTCAATTCCTTAGTACCACATAAACAGAAAAGCCAGAAATGGTGCTGTGGTAGCTCAGGAACACTGCCCAGGCCCTGAATTCAAGCCTCAAGACTGGAGCAAAAAATGAACAAAAATATGACAAAGCCCTAATTGTTTTAACCAAGATCGTGCTCATAAATTTCCTAGGATTAAGACACCACCCTCCCATATCTTCCCAACTAATAATCTTGTGCCAGTAAATCTATAACATATCAAAAAATTGAGGTTATCAATATCAACTTTCTAGGGATTTCCTTGATTTATTAAGATACATTAGCTATACAAGGGAGGATTTCATTGTGACATTTCCACACATGTATACAATGTATTTAATCAATCCCCCCATATCACTCTCCCTTACCCTGTCCTAATACAATTTCAAGATGTTTCATTGTTCTATTTTCATAATTGCTGATAATCTCCACCTTCCCTATCTAACTTTCTTTGCCAGTCCTTTCTTTGCTAGGCCCTGAACTCAGGGCCTAGGCACTGTCCCTGAGCTTCTTTTGCTCAAGGCTACCTCTCTTGCTACTTGAGAAACAGTGCCACTTCTGGCCTTTTCTGTTTATGTGTTACTGAGGAATCAAATCCAGGGCTTCATGCATGCTAGGCAAGCAATCTACCACTAAGCCACATTCACAGTGTTTTATTTTTTGACATCAACGTTTCTCAATCAACTATTCTCTCAGAGATATTCTCACTTGCCCCACTAACTTTCAACCCCCAATCCAAACCCCTAACCCCAGCTCAATCCAAGTATTCAACACTGAACCACTGGATATGACTGGAGAAAAAAAATCACTCTTTAGATTGATGAAACAATAAATTTACACTATCCAAATATCTGGGTCACACTACCTGGTAATATTCCTATAATTCCCTACTTAGCTCTCTTTCTCATGATACACAGTGGATTTCAAACAAATGACCAACCTAACTATAGCTCTCTCTCTTTCTCCCCAAATTATCTTGGGCTGGGAAAGTGGCTCAGTGGTAGAGCGCTTGCCTTGCATGCCTGAGGCCCTGGGTTCGATTCCTCAGCACCACATAAGCAAAAAGAAAAAAGCCAGAAGTGGCGCTGTGGCTCAAGTGGTAGAGCACTAGCCTTGAGCTGAAGAGCTGAGGGACAGTGCCCAGGCCCAGAGTTCAGGCCCCACAACTGGACCCCAAAAAAAAAATTATCTTACTTATCTTCCTACCACCAAATTTAACTACTTTTGCAGCCATCTTTTCCTTTCATTACAATAGAAGTGCTGCTGGTTGCCAGTAGTTCACACCTGTGATCCTAGCAACTCAGGAGGCTGAGATCTGAGGATCAAAGTTGAAAAGCCAGCCCAGGCAGGGAAGCCCATGAGACTCTATCTCCAATTAACCACCAAAAAGCCAGAAGTGGAACTATGTATGGCTCAAGTAACAGTGCTACCTTGAGCTTTTATTTTTTTATTTTTATTTATTTTTTTGGGGTCCGGGCATGGGGCCTGAACTCTGGGCCTGGGCGCTGTCCCTCAGCTCTTCAGCTGAAGGCTAGCGCTCTACCACTTGTGCCACAGCACCACTTCCGGCTTTTTTCTTTTTTTGCTTATGTGGTGCTGAGGAATCGAACCCAGGGCCTCATGCATGCAAGGCAAATGCTCTACCACTGAGCCACCATCCCAGCCCTACCTTGAGCTTTTAAAAAGCTCAAGGACAGCGCCCCAAGTTCAAGCCCTTGGACCAGCACTTTTTTTTTTAAAAAGCCAATGAAAATAAGGGAAACCATGGGATAACTTTCCTCCTTTCCAAAGTCATTGTTTGTACCTGAGTTACATCTTTTCTTAGTCAATCAATTATCCCTTCATTTTGCAGTACCTTCAACCTCTCCTTCTTTACCTTCTCCATCACAGTAGTTAAGCTCAGCAATCTTAAGGGAACAAACAAGGGAAAGGGCAGTCTCCCTTAGATGTTTCAGTTTAAGGTTAGCACAATACCACTTGAGCCACAGCTCTACTTCTGGCTTTTTAGTGTGGTTAATTGGAGGTAGGAGTCTTATGGATGTTCCTGCTTGGGCTGGCTTCAAAGAGCAATCCTAAAATCTCAGCCTGGGGAGTAGCTAGGATTACAGGCCTGACTTCATCAGCATTTCCGGCTCGAGCCATACTCTCTCCATTAAGACGGTTTTTATCCTTGACTGGTAACTACTACCTTAGTTAACATTTAATGAACATCTGCCAGACCCTGATCTAGGTGCCGGTAATAAAAAAGGAAAAAAAAAGCATACAAAAAACCCTGCTCTTATATAGCTGACATTCTACTAGAGTTAAACAACAAGAAACAAGACAGATCAATACCATCAGTGAATTATATGTTAGATAGTGAAAGGAGCTAACTAGAAAGAAAGAAAAAGGGAATATATATGTACTGGTTGAATATGCCTTTTCTGAAATGCTAAGGAACAAAAGCATTTCAAAACATTTCAGAGTTCAGTTTAGAAATGTTCAACCTGTACATGAGTACATAAATACATACATCTAATAGGGGTCCAAAAAATGGTTGTGGTGGTATAATATTAAATAGGGAAGGACTGACAAAATTACTCTGGTGGAGGGGGAGGGTCTGGTATCAGGGTTTGAACTCAAGGCTCTCCCTTACTTAGCTTGCTCCCTTGGCTGTTATTCAACCACTTGAGCCATAAATCCCAGCTCAGCTTTTTGCTGGTCATTTGGAGATACAATCTCTTTAATTTTTCTGCTGGGCTAGCTTTAAACTATGGTAATTCAGATCTCACCTCCTGAGTAACTAGGATTATAGGCATGAACCTTGCTAAAGGCAGTAAGGGAGCAAGCCATGTTGATATAAGGGGGAAATATCCCAATTAAAGATAGCAGCAAGTACAAAAATCTCATGGCAGGAACATATCTAGAATATTCAAGAACTGATGAAGAGTAGCCTGCTTTGGATTGAGAGCAAGGAGGATAGTAAACAATTGGGAAAGTAACAAGCCCTCATGTAGTAAGCGTTTGTAGACTGTTAAATTTTTTGGCTTTTCCTGATAAAATAACTGGATTGTGGGTAGGGATGTAATGATCAATCATATGTATGTCTCTGGATTCTCCTTGTTTCCCAATGAACTTTTTCTTCTGCCCAATCCAAAAGTGTTGCCTGGGTGCTCCTTTCAAACTACCTCACTCATCTTACCCTTAGGGATCATATGGCTATATGTACACATTTATAACTCCAAGAAGGAATTTTCAACTGCTTCAGACTCTTCTTCCAAATTTCTCCTGGGTATTTCTGCTGGATACCCAGACTATTTGTATATTTCAGTAAATACAAACCCAACTTTCCCCCATTAAACCTGTTCCCTCTACATCAGCAAATGGCACCATAATGTCACCAGGTATTTAGGCCAGAAATTTTAATAACCTCTCATCATACCCTTTCATTATACTGTGAAGTAGATTATTTAGCATCAAGATAAGAACTCAGATGTTAGTGACACACCATGTGGATTTAAATTCTTAGCTATGCAATTTACTAGCTGTGGGATCCAGGGCAAATCATTTAACCTCTCCCATGTCTCAGTTTCCTCT